TTACAACTACCATTATTAATAAACTTATCATTATCGTTCTAGTTACTACTTCAATTTCCATTACCATTACTACAACTATTATTATTATCAATTCTATTACATATATTATTATCATAATCATCAGCAGTACCATAATAATTATTATTTTCGTTTCCATTACCAATCCAATTACCATTACATTCGAAATTATCATTATAATTACTATTTTCATCACCATTTCCCGTTCCATTACCATTACCATCATCTTTGTCACTGCCATTATAATTCCTATTTCCATTATCATTACCATTAAAATTATCATTACTCTTCCATTACCCCTACTATAATTAGTGTTATAATCATTACTATTACATAAATTCTTATCATTATCTTCACCGTTATCATAATAGTTATTATTTACATTACCATTACCAGGTAATCATCAATACCATAATAAATAAATATTTCCATTTACATTAAGATAACAATTATTATTATTATTACTAATAAAATTACAATAAACCCAGCTTAAGTGCTCCAATCCAAAGTAGCGGAAGTAGCTTATGATGGTTTCCAAGTAATCTACTAGATTGAAGCTTCCCTCTGTCTTATAAATAGAGCTGCTTTTTTGCCCTAACGTGTTCTCAGGATTTGGTCTTGGAGATATTAATATGAAGTTACGTAATATTTTTCCGAAAGTGTTCTCTTTGCTTGTAAAGGCAGAATCCTTTGTTGCTAGAGAATGGAAGTCTATAAACGCTATTGTATTGTTAGGTTTAAGATCCAAGCGGTTCAAGTGTGTTTTTAAATGTCTTACAGAATTTTATACTTGCCGTTTGGCACTTTCCTAATTCCTGCTCTTCTTTTTAGTACTCCCCTCACTTGATTTTCTATTTCTTTTGGCTTAAATTTCCTTTTAAAGTACAAAAACCATTTTCGAAAAATCTCTCATCTACTGGCTTTATGATGATGAGCACTTATGACCTGCTTTTGGATTTAATCTTTTCTGTTGTCTTTCCTGAGCTGTCAGTTGCTCGTTGGCCTTCTTTGCTTTCTCGAAATGATCATTTTCCACAGTTTGGCTCTTCCATTTCAGAAACGTGCAGTGTATCGTGACCATCACTAGCACTAGTAGCCCTTCCTTTAGCGGACAAGTACCTTTCATTTTGATTCAACCATCGATTTCGGTTCCTTTGCATTTGTCATCCAGGCATTTGTGTTGCTTTCTATGGTATCAAAAAATTCTTCCAACTGTCCTGCACCGTTCATATATGGAGTTTGATGTTTTTCTGTGTTGCCATTACAACTTTATCATTTATTCATATCGTAACCGGAGACTCATAGCCGAAAGCTCTTTTTCTGGTCAGGGGCTTTTTTTCGGATACTTACTTTCGGTATCTACAGTTCTTCAAGCTGTAGCCATAGGTGACCTGAGCCTTACCCACTTTAAGGAGGATTGAGGATTGGGGAAATTGATTTAATTAAAAGAATTTTCGCTTCTACTTGCTCACAGAATTTATGCGAATGAAGAGCTGTTCAATAATTATGTCTCTTAAAGAAATCTTACTATCTTAGCTGAGCCTCTCAAATATTTTCAATCATTGTGAAACAAGTCGGTATAAAGTTTCTTAACTCAAAACGCGTGGGCAAATTCATGCCGGAAATTATTATTTTTAAGGCAAAACAAAACCAAATAGGACCAAGTTAGGCTGCATATTATCTTTCAATGCTTTAAATCAAATTATTTATTTTTCTCTTGCCTTTTTTACTCCCAGAAATACAAAAAATAAATATATTCATATAAAAAATATGCCTTTGATCCCACAATATCTTTACAATAACTTGTTGAAAAATGATGTATTTAATTAATTCGGAAATTGGAAAATAAAAAAGTCCAGGCATTTTTTCCTTTCAATAAAACTGAAATATTTATGTTAAGGGCCATTTTGATTGCCAACTTGAACATGAAATTACTGCCGCTCATAAAAAAGCAGCTGAAAAGCAATCAAGCGCTCAGCTGATGAATAAATTGCATTCTTTATTTTATTTATGTGAATTCTTTTTTTATTTTTTTGAATTTTTGGGATTTTTCTCTTTTTTTTTATTTTTGTTAATTCCAACTAAACGTGAATTACGCGCTGGCTATACAATTACTATTACAAAAAAAGAAAAACCTTATATATCAAAGATACATAAAAGTGAAATGCTAGAGCAATTACAACTTAAGCTCAACGCACACAAAAGCTGACGGATGCAGACGATGAGGAGGCAACAAAGCTTTGTAGTACACCTCTAAGACTTCCACGGAGGGCCAAAGAGTAGGTCAGGATGAGCAAGTCGGATTATGTGGCATCGTAAATCTTAAGAAACACATGAACAAACGAATGAGCCAGCGAAGGCAAAAGATGCTGCTGCCGCATGCTGCTGCTACGACATTTTCGTAACGCGCTGAATGCGGTTAAGTAAAAGAAAATGAAGTTAGTTTGGACGGGTGAGGTTGGGAAGTGCACAGAAGCACCAAAGGACACGAAAAGTGAAAGTTGAGTTCAAATGCTTTAAATGGCAATAAGAAAATGACAAAAGCAGTGGCATGCCAAGCCTTAAATTATGGCAAAACAATTTTCATAAACCACAAGCCGAAGTGGTAGGCAGAGGTGGATAAAAGCGTAAGAGGAGAAGTGATGAAAAGCGCAAAGAGCCTAATAAATACGCAATCCCAGACAAAAGTAGCTAGAGGAGTGGAGCTAAGAGAAATAAATATAAGAAGAAAACATATGCCGAAATTAATGGCATACTGCAACACAGCAAACTTTACTTTTGGCTAACTTATAGCAATGAGTTCAACACCCAACTGCCAAGTGGCATGCGGTGTGCTGCGTGTAGCGGCTGTGTGAGCATATCAACCACTGTAATGATACGCGGCATAGAATGGCACATTCTGGAACGGCGCACAGAGAAAGAAAACAAAAGCTTTATCGTCATCGTTTGATCAAATTAAAATAATTGCTCTTAAGCACCTGAAATTATGCTACTGTTTTGTGTGTTTATTTGTTCCGTTGCTGTTGTTGTTGCAATTGTTATTGCTATTGTTTTCTTTCAGCCCTCACACTCAAACACGCGCACTTACTCGTGCTTTTAGCTTTTCTGCTGGTGTTTTATCAGTATCGTAAGGTTCAAACTTATATTTTCATGCCCACAGAGCTTCCTGCTGCCTTTGCTGTTGTTTCTGTTGTCGTTCTGTAGCTGACAGATGTGCAAATAAATGAACACAAAAGAATGAGAGTAGCATATTTGTTCGAGCGATAAACATGAAAGCAGAAGCCACAATAAGACATCACACCATGTGTTGTCACGCTTATCGCAAAGTCATGGTGTTTGCACGCTTTCGGTTTTGAACTAAAGTGTAAATAATTTACGCTTGTATTAATATATATATTCATGCAAAAGAATGTGCATATGAAGAGAAGTTTGCTTTAAAAGGTTTAAGCTGGCAAAATAAATGCTAAATTTACCTACCTTTGTAAGATGCTGTAAGTTAAAAGATCAATTCGGCCTGTGCCTAGCTATTTTTCTACACAAATTTCATAAAAGACATTTTAAACCGTATTTCATTGCATACCTTGAGGCTTTATAGAAGTGGCACTTCTGGAATGGTTTTAAAGAGTTAAAAAGTATATTTAAATCAGAAAAAAATACCCCAAATTTTTCAGTTAATGTCGGAGATGGTCCGATAATCGGTGATTTTTTTATTTGGTGGACATTAACAGTTAACCGTTGAAGGCAGACAACCTTCAGCTTAAAAAAATGGAAATCGGTGCATTTACTATGCTAAGTCAACTTTGTTTTTGTGTAAAAATGACATGACGAAGAGGCTTACGAGTACAAATAAGACTTCTACGTTCCTCTTATGAAATTCAAATTTTGCAATGCAATCGAAGACGAAAATTCCATGAAAACGAGCTGGATAGTGGCAGAGGTAATGCTCCGCTTCCACATTTATATCCAGTTATTACGCTGATTGTTTTGGTTTTGGAGACTATTTTTAGAAGAAGTAACGACTTAGCTTTGTTTACTTTAATTAGATCCAGATTTTTTTAGTCACATTGCTCGTGCTTTCACTCTAATGTCTGCTATTGACTCTTCTGATGAAGGCTAGTCTAAGTAGATCCTTTGCCGAGGAGAGCGATATGGGATGTGCTCATGACAAGCTCCCAAACCAGGGACTTTACGCTTCTCTATGACTTTTATGGCTGCCTTTGAGATGGTATGATTACATTGGAGAGACTTATTGACCACTCACTGCACCAGCAACTTATTTTGTAAAGGGCACTTTGAAGCATCTTATCTTGGACATGGAGGTGTTTCCTTCGTTGCCGAGAGGGCAAAGTGACTGTGAGGCAACAAAGAAGAGGAAATAAAACTCCCCCTATTGGAAGCTTATATTGGTATAACTGGTAACTGATGCGCCTGGTAAGACATCATTAAGAGCTCTCTATGTCGAGAAATACACGCAATGTAAATATTACCTATGAGAGCGGGATCTCTCTCAATCTACGAAAAAATATAGCGAAGAATGGTGTCCATAGATTTATTTTAAAGCAGGCGTGCTGGTTAAACAGAGGTATCACTTGGCGTATACAAGCACGGAGCATTTCTTCAAGGATTTATAAAACATACATATTAGAAGCTTTTTTTACCGAAAATCCTTTGGGTTTAAATAACTTTTAAGATTCTAGTTTTTTACGTAAATCCATTTATTTCCAACTCTCGGATATAACTCGTTTGACGCTGAGAGTGTTACAGAGATGTATGCAATAACTTATCGTTTTCATCTTCTTTTGCATTTTGAAGAAACTGTGGTGACTTTAATTTACAACACTGCCATAAAATTGTTACGCAAGAATCTTTATTTTTGTTATCTTAAGCTAGAATCTTTTTAAAATGAATTTTCAATATTTACATACAGTTTAGACATTCTATCTTACAAGTCATTCCCTCTGCTCTTTTCCCTCTACTTACAGAGTGCAAAATCTTGACTCCATTGTACGTGTCGCCGACCGCGATCTACCGGTAGTTAATACCAGAGGCGACGTACTCTTCAACTCATGGAAGGGCATCTTTAATGGCCAAGGTGGCTTCTTCTCGCAAGCGCCGCGTATATATAGTTTTAGCGGTAAAAATGTGCTAACGGAGCCATTGTGGTGAGTATACATATAAACAATGCTGGCGTAATAAATACTACTACAACTACAACATCAAAGTAACATAAAATGCGCAAAAGCCTATTTTAACGATTTCTCTTTTTTTACAAGTGTGTGTGTGTTCGTGTACATGTATTTATTTATTTTTTCTCCATACCTTTTCATTATCTTACTTTATCTTTTAACTCACGTTGAATTGAGGTTAAGTTTATAGCTGGTTTGTCCCAACACAAATCTGCCAACATTGGCGTTGTTGGCTTTGTGTTTGAAGAGAGAGAAAAAAATTTAAAAAAAATATATAATTACATTACGTAAAGGCATAGTCGAGCACGCTTCGGGCTGAGCGTCCACTTATTGTGCACGAGCCAGGTCAGTGACATTAGCCGTGTCGGTGTCGGCGACGGCGACGGCGACGGCTGCGACGTTAACGCTTGCTCAGGTGGCAGATTGCCAGCTTAGCCATATGCTTTTTAGCTGGGATTTAATTTGTGGTAAAATCAGTGAACGTGTTTTGGCATAAATAAGTGAAATAGAATGAAAGTTTTTTAAAAAGAATCTGGTCTAATAAATAAAAGATTGGCTAATTTTGAGGAGGGGAAGTGTATGTAATTATACGAGGAGCATGTAAGGAAAGAAGAAATTCTAAGATTTCTGATAAAAAAAATGTGAATTAAATGTTTAAGTTTAATATCGGTGATTATAGCTTATCAATTTCGAAAGAAATTACAAACAATATTGAAATTTTTTATCGTATAAATTAATTTTGTGTGAAGGAAATGTGATATTCTTTAAGTGTGTTGTGAGTTTTAAGGTTTGAGTTTCGAGTTTCAAGAATTAAAATTTAAATTCTAAGCTATAAATTCTAAGCTATAAATTTTAAGCTTACACTTTGTGTATTAAGATTTAGATATTGAGTTTCGAGATTCAAGTTTTAAAATTTAAGTTCTCAGTTTGGTGTATTGAGCTTTGAGTTTTGAGTTTTTATCTTCGAGTTTTTAATTTTGAGTTCTGAACTTTATGTTTAAAGCTTTGAGATTTGAGTTTTGAGTTTTTAGTTTTGAATTTTGCGTTTTAAGATTTAAATTTTAAGTTTTAAATTGACTTTTAGGTTTTAAGTTTCGATTTTTGAGTTTCAACTTATAAAATTTAAGTTATCAGTTACAGAGTTTTGAGTTAAGGTTTTGAGTTTCGAGTTACAAGTTTTGTAATTTAAGTTCTCAGTGTTGAGTATTGAGCTTTGAGTTTTAAGCTTTGAGCTTTGAGTTTTCTGATTTGAGTTTTCAGATTTGATTTTTCCGTTTTGAGCTTTGAATTTCGAGTTTTGAGATTCGAGTTTTGAGTTATGCGTTTTGAATTTTGCGTTTTAAGATTTGATTTTTGAGTTTTAAGTTTTGACTTTCGATTTTGGAGTTTCGATCTTGTGTATTGAATTTTGAATATTGAGTTTTGAGTTTTTAGTTTTGAAGTTTGCGTTTTGAGTTTTAGGTTTTGAGCTTCGATTTTTGAGTTCTAAGTTTTAAGACTTGACGTTAGGTTTTGAGCTTTGATTATTAAGTTTTGCGTCTTAAGTTTCGAGTTTGCTGTTTAGACATTAGAGTTTTGACTTTTGAGACTTAAGGTATGAATTTTGAGTTTCGAGCTTAGCAATTTGATTTTTTGAGCTTAGAGCTTAGTGTCTAGAATTTTGCGCTAGGAGTTTTGAGTTTTCCATTTTGAGGTTGCAGTTTTGCGTTGTTGGCTTGGAGTTTTAAGTTCTGAATTTTGAATTTCGAGTGTTCTGTTTAAACTTTGGTTTTGACTTTTGTGTTTTGAGTATTGAGAACTCAGTTTAGCGTTTTGAATTTGATTAGGTTTGAGCTTAAGTTATATTAAATATTTTACTATGAGTTTGAGTTTTGGTATCATAAAATAGTTTAAATTAAATTTGAGTTTAAGATAGAAATTAAGTTTGACCTTTTGTTTGTGTTTAAGTGGAAATTTGAGTTTATTCGTAAGTTTAGTTTTTCGATGTTAAGTTTCAAAATCATTTTCACTTTCAGTTAGCCATTGACTACACTAAACTAGAATTTTCATTAAGCAATCACCGTGCTGTTTATTAATCCAAGGTGGCACTATATAAACATATATACCCAAGACTTTCATTAAGAAATAATCGTCTTTTTATTAACCCAAGATGACACTTCATATATATATATATATGTATATAAAAATGGATGTAGGAATTACAAACTTTTCTAAATGAATAAACTAGTGAAAATCATGAAGCATCAGTAAATAACAAGAACAACTCAAATATTTAATTACAAACTACCAACATATGCAACAAATTGAAGTTAAGTGATTACAAAATGTAATTGTTCTGTACAACTGTATCAGCAAGGAGGACCAGACTTCAAACCACAAAGTGACAAATTGCATTTATGTAGCACACTTTAACCACACGCCGAACTCCACATTTGTATATACATGTAAATATATTTATAAGAATGTGTGATATTTAATAGAATCTACAGAGGCGACAGAGTTAAGCTTATAAAATTTTGTGGTATTAGACATTGCCAGGCAACATTTAATCCCTGAGTGGCAATCAGCATGAGCTTATACTTATTAATAAACATAAAAACATACATATATACACACATACACGTACACACAAACTACAATATATATACAAGTGCTTAGACACGTTTAATGGCAGCATGTAATTGAAACATAAATTTAAAAGCTTACAGATTTTAAGATTTCTACACTCGGAAGCTTTGTGTTGGCAGTGAAAGCAAATGTGTCTGCTTGTAGTGCACACGTATTGTAATAACTCATACAAATGTGTGTGGTGACTTTTTAGTTGCATGTAAATGCATTGCATTACACATTACACGCATTCAAATGCATATAAATACACATACACATACTTGACTTGTAAACGCAAATATGTCAAGGCTACAGCATACAAGTGCATTTATTATAACGGCAAGTGATGAGATTTCATAAATTCTGCGTTGTGAGCGGTGATATGCAGTAGGTATTGTATGGTATGTTTATGTGCATATACTATATACATACATATAGTTAACTGCATCACAACGAGTTATGTTTGTGTGTTGATATTATGCTTTTGCACTTACATTTTTATTTAATAAATGTTTTATGATTATTATTTTATGCATAAATCTTAAGTAAAAATCTAGTCACTCCGCATGAAGTTCATATTTCTCCATAGTCAGCTGGTAGATTTCTATTTAAATTTTTCCAATTTGTCTTGTTCTCACGCTCTACCATCAGCAGCAGCAGGTGCACGCAAAAATGGTGTGTTTAAGTTATTTATACGTTTTTTTACTAAATTATAATAGAAAATTATTTTTTTCTACCATAAGTTTTTGTCACGAAGGTCTCAAAATAATTATATAATAAAAAAAAACCAAATAAATTGACCATTTATAGTTTTCCGTAGCTTAATTGTCTTCTTAAATTTCTTTTTTTTCTGTTTATTTTTTTCTTATTTCAAATCATTTCCTTAATTATTATCAAGTAAGTGAGTGTTTGTGGTTTTCACTTTCGAGTCTGTGCCACACTTTATTATTCCAAGAGTGAAATCATAAAAAAAAATATTTTTTTTTTGTATAAAAAATTCGATATGCATTTTAATACGAAAAATACGAAATTTATAATTTCAACGGAATTTAATTACGAATTATATAAAATATACTAGTTTTTCTCATTTCGGTCGCGCATCCGTACACCATCAAATTTTTGGTAGAATATTCTGTCATGAAAGAAGATCTCCTCTTTAGAAACCGTCAACCAATCCGAGGCGCCTTAGAATGTCGCAAGTAGGAAGGGACCTCAACCATGGGAAGAGGACCTAGAAATCTTGAATATTTCGGAGAAGCATAGGTCTTCATACCCCGTTTACCAATCTGACCTCCACTGAAATATTTCATGTTTTGCATACAGATTTTTGTCTTCACTGACCGTGTGATATCGAAAAAATCAATGGAGTCCACGAATTAATACTCTTTGTATAAATTTGCTTGATCAATGCATAGCTTCCTAAGTACAATTATTATCTTCATTGGCTGACTGATGAACGTAGATTGCTTGTAACTGGAAGGATACTACTGATCTTTCAATAGTTATCAATCTTGGCAGCAATCGTATACAGGTAAGTCCCATTCAGGGCTTTTTGTGTCCATATCACAATCCAGCTAAAGCCGAGTAGTCCCAGCTAAGCCAACTAAGAAGTGTAGGAAAATACTTGTGGCTGAGTGCGGATTACAAGAATTTCCTTATCACCACAATTTCATAGACATTTTCTTTAAGTGCTCAAACATTTTCGAATCCGCTTTCATCATTATTCTTATTTACAGCGCGCATTTTTTACGTGATAACCTATACACGTGTATATATTTATATTTTTTTCCTCGATTTTAGGAATTTTTAAATGTTTATAATTCATGATTCTGGTTTATCTATTTTTCTATTTTCCTATGACACTTGAAGCTATTAAAATTTATTTTTATTTTTTTGATAATTTTTTGCAAGAAATCAAACTTTTCAAAATAATCTTTTTCTAGAACATTCAATTTTTTTTTTAATCTGCCAACACTTATTTCACAATTAGCACTTTCTGCGTACTGTTATATTTGACAAACACGGTAAAATAAAATTCCTTCGTTAGCGCAAAAATTCCGCAAATTTTTTAAAATAATATTTTTTTCTGCTAAGCAACAGAAGAAAAAATAGGAACAAATCGTTGGTTTCCGCTGATTTCTTTTTTTTTTTTTTTTTTTTTTTTTTTTTTTTTTTTTTTTTTTTTTTTTTTGTGAACACAGTCCTTTGAAGAAAACATCAGTGGACAAAGTGAAAACGCAGAATTTTAGAAAGGATAGCGGAAAGGACCAAAGCACAGTGTACAAACTCAAAGATGTAACGAAAAATATTTCGCAATTTCATTTTTGCTAATGACCGCGAAGGCGTACAAAGCGATAAGGCGCACAATG